AGAAGTTTTATATAATTTAGTATAATTTAGTTTAAAATTTTTCCTATCACTAAAAATTACACTGCTAAATATTTACTGGTTTGAATAATTCAAATAGTTTTTTTATTTGTTATCCTCATTTCTACATTGAATTTACAGAAAAGCTTCCATAACACTTGCCAGGACCTTCAACGAGGGGCTGCTCCATAACATAGCACATCAGGGGTAGCAATGTTAAACAAGATTATCTAAACTACCCCTGAAAAAGCAGGGGTAAAGGACAACTTGACGAAACTTCTGCAACTTACAGCACGCAGGGGTGGTTTACAGACGCGAGAGAGGAAGGACATTCGGAGGACAAGTCGAAAGAGCGGAGTTACAATAAATGTTAGCCAGTTGGCAAACCGAACTGTAAGCAGATAATTCAGATCAACATTGCAATTTTTAAACAGTCGCTGGAATGCCAACCCATTGTCGGAAAATAACCGCTGGGATTTGCTGTTCAAAAAAAAAAAAATGTGGTTCAGAAATAAAACTAGTTAACTGAGGCTAATCTCAACTTAAACGTGAGCAGTTGTTCACTACTGCTGTTAACCGACTTTGTGAATGAGATGCTTTCAGACCTTCATGGCTTAGCTTTTCAACAACACCACCTAGAGGAGCAGAGCTTTGGGTATGCGGGCCTCGATTGCAACTATCGTAAAACGTTCGTTTTATAGCCGAAACTTGCACCATAAACTGCACTATAATGGAACTTGCACTGAACTACATTAGATGCTCCTTAGGGGAGAGCTCTTTGCTGGGGAATCAGGGGCCCTCCTACCTGAGCTCCTCACTGGGTCAAATCTATCCTCATTGCACGCTTTTCGCGCGCTAAGCACATTTCTTTCGTCAGACCCTTAATTTCCTAGAATTCGCTCGACACTTTACGGTATTCATGACTCCTCGGAAGCCCCCACCCTTCCTGCGATGTCCTACGTCTCCCCAGGTTGCCGCCGTGCGAGCAGCTCACGTATAAATATTTTACGACGTCCTTCAGTCATTTACTTTTATTGCAATATTTGCTCACTCAACGTTTATGATGATCATTTTAAGCCATTTTTATGGCCAGCTGCTGCCGCTGCTGCTCTGCATGAATCACAGTCGAGCAGGAGTGGAGGGCAGAGAGGGTCGGAGGGACATGTGAGTGCCCCGTAGTCCCTTTCATTTGTGTGTCTGTCTGCGGGGGAGAGTCCGCCAACGGTGCTAAATATTTGTCTACCTCCAGCCGCTCCCCCTCGACTGCCGCCACTTCACCACTTGGCTACTTGGCTACTTTGCTGCTTTTTATATAAATGGCAGCTCATTAAATTGCTGGCATCGTTTTCACCAGCCGAGGGTCAAAAGCGCAAATTGGCCAGGTGTGTTTGGGTGTAGGACATGCGTGCAGGCGGGGTTGGGGGAAAAGGGGCTTGGGAGGGCAGCTTTTAGCTGCGTACTTAAAGTATATCAGGCGCAAGGATTCTAATTTGCACACAACACTGCTGGCCGGCAACTTCTCACCTCGTTTGAGCTGCTGGCCACGTAATGAGCTGCAACTTTCGCACTTGCACGTGACTCGACCGCCCAGAAACTATGTCAACGGCCCCAGTTGTAGCCGGTGGAGGCCCATAACTAAGCCGAAAACTGTGCTAAAGTTTCCGGCACTCCACTTAACGCTCCATTGCTTAGCCCGAGCACTTTCGTCCTTTGCCTGGCCTCTCCTGCTTTCCAGAAGCACTGGATGGGAGGGCCCAAATTGCACTTCATTTGATTTAAATTGATACGACGTCAGCTTGCATTTCATTTGCAAAGTGGAAGGACTAAAAAGAGGGCTGAAGCAGTCCCAGTTATAAGTTATAATGGCCTGACCACAACATCCCACTTGACGTCGACCAAAAGACCTGCTCAAGTGCTTGGCCGGCAGTTGAAAGCAAAATTTTGTCATCTCAATGGAGATTGAAAAGTCACTTTGTGCGGAGTAGTTCCCCGCCTTCGTCCTCCCGAAGCTCCTTTCGACTCGAGTGTGTGTGGCGCACTTGAGATTACCAAATTACAGTTGCACAATATTTGAGGCATACACTTAGGCGCACTTAGGGCAGAAGCCACTTTCGGGTTATCAATAACCATCTGCGGATCTGCGGAGAACTTTCCACCGTCGCCGGTTTGGCGGGCCCTGCGGCGGAGCGCCTAAAAGGCGGCTGCACTTTTTGTCTATTACGTTCAGTGCATCTAACTGTCATTTTGTTTGTTTGTCGGAGCGCAGGGCGAGCTCCTGCGCCGTGGGAGGCCGTGCTCCAGTGAACTTTGCCGAGTAGACAAAGCAAAAACGCTGGCGAAGTAACACATGATTGCAGATTGCCGTGGTTCGGTTCGAAGAGCCTTAAAACTTGTGCGAAAGTTTGGCAGAGAGAAATCGGGCTTAGTTTCTAATTCAATTTGTCAAGCAGCTTTGCCACGAAAGTCCTCGCCAAACTGTCCTCAATAATCCGAAATTGACTAACCAAATAGAAATCACACACAACAGAAAAGGCAATGAAGCGTTTATCCCATGTTATTCAATTGAACATTTGCGAAAAATTAAGCACAGTCTGCAGTCCGGGGCACAAACAAATGCAAAGCGCCCTCGCCGCTTGTAATCTGTCTGCCTCCTCCGCCCCCTCACTCCCACTTTTCCACCCCCTCACGGAGTTTTCCTGGGTTGAGTCAACAACAATTGCAATTGCAGGTCCCCCGAACCCGGACAAAGGGACACGGACAGAAACCCCTACAAAACACAGTCCATTGCACACACATCGACAATGACAAGTACATGGGCATAATAAAGTCTTGGAATTTATTTTTATGTGCATATAATAGAGGACTGCTCCCCACCCCGGCATCCCTCCCCCTCCGCTCGGTGTTCCATGTCCCCCAGAGACGCATTTCACCCGAAAATGCGAAACATTTTATGGGTACAAAAAACACTGCATCGAAGCAGGAAGCTGAAACAAGGACCACGCACTGACTTCGCCTCGTGTCCAATGCGTTTTGACCCGGGCCTAGTCCGCAACGAATTTTCGAATTCGGCCAATATTTGCTTAGTCATTCGGAGATTATCCTAATTGGGAATCTCGGCGTTGGGCCCCGGGGTTGTCCTGCGTTTTCCCGCAAGGGGTGATGCCCCACGTCGCAGGCCGTCGATAAGACTGGCCCCAGATAGATGGATATGTGTCTCTTCCTGGCAGCATCCTGCAAATGAAGCGGAACCATGAAATCGTCGCAATCAAAAGAAGAGGGCACTGGGAGAAATATTTGGGTATCATTCTGTATTAGAGCAAACCCAATTTGGGGTGACCTGGGCAAGACCCAGTACTCTTGCAAGTGTGACCCTGGACAAATGAAACTCAAACAAAGGCGCATCTTGACCACTTTCCCCCAACTGTCAGTCTCCTGTCACAATTCATTACGAGTCCTCGAAGCTCGGCAAAAGAAAACATAAATAAACTTTTTGTTTTAGATTTCGTGACAAATGTACAGAAATTGCAATTTCCATCGACCGGGGGCCCCAACCCTCTCCTCCGCCCCCGAAACGGAATTATCGCTGGAAAGAAAATATTTGCACAGGCGAAAGGTTCGAGGATTCTGGACGGACGGACAAGAAAGCGGGCGGATGAGTGACTGGGACCCTCGCAGGAAGCCGAACGTCGAAGCTAAAAAGGATTACTTATCGCATATTTTGACATAAGTTAAGTTCATCAGTGAAATACGAGAGTCAATTGTTCGCTTCCATGGGCAGAGGGGCAGAGGGGCGAAGGGGGAAACCAATGTCCAGACAAACAGACAGACAGACAGCCGGCCAAAGGCGTGTGATGGGTCAATTGTGATAAGCCGAATGTCCGAGCCACCCCTGACTGCTCCTTTGTTCTAGGCCCACTTCTGGCCGGCGTTTATTTGCATTCGCCCTTGTTTGTGTTTGCAGTGAAATCGAGGCAGGACGACCAGACCGAGCCGAGCGAGCCAGGACGACTGTAAAATTGGTAAATATCTATCGAACAATTGACAGTTTAGGGGCGGATCCAGCAAAAAGCCGACAATTGATAGGCAGCATTCTGGACATATGCAAAGGGCCAATCCCAGCTCGGGCTGTTTGCGATGTAAGCGGAAAGCAATGCCAAGACGTGGAATTGCAAAAAGGACTTAGCTCCGGCTTTAATTTCGGGTCTTTTGTGTCAATCAACCAAAAAATCAAAGGGTTTCGCGAACTCTTTTGTTGCGCAGAACTCTGTTTTGCGATTTAAAAATTGGACCATACCGATTGAGCAAGTGCTGGTTTTATTAAAAGGAAATTACTATGACTAATTGGACGGCAGACTCTTTAAGCAGTGAGCCAACTGGCTTCGAGATAGCACCGAGCTAAAGTTAACTTCCGGCATCTCGCCTGCATCTCCGCTGATATCCCGAGGCCGAACAAGTGGGTCCGCTCCATCCACAAGTCAAAACAAAACACGCCAAACAACAACAGTCGGATGCTCGAATGGCGACTCCTTCTCGGCAGGACTCGGCAGGACTGCAACTTCTAAGGCAGCCTTGTCTGCTCATCCACAGCCGCGCCTGGTTGTAAAGATATAAAATCAGACAACTGCAACAACAGAGCCGCCGGGGAAGGAGTCCTGCAGAAGGAGCAGCAAAGGAAGCAGCAGAGGAAGCCGAAGGACAGGCGGTGGCTGTGTCCTAGTCCTCTGGGTTGTCAGCTGCACCGGCGGCGATTTGTAGCGCCACAAGGATAATCACACTTTTAATCGTGATTTAAGTTTATGGCGCTGGGCGCTCGTTTAGTTTCCTGTTACTCGTTACTAGTTCCTTGTTACAGCAACGATGCATCTCGCAACGTCTGCCACGATTTTTTCAATTCCTTTCTCACGGCTTCATTGGACTCGTCCGTCGGCGGCGCAGGGCGATTGCGAGGGGATGGGATGGGGGCTGTCTGCTTGTTAAGTTTGCCGCTTTCATTTTTATATTTTTTAATGATTTTTATTGCATAACTGGCGGCGTCTGCTCGACCTACGGCCCCTTCTTGGCCTGCCAGGCAATTGCACTTTGCCACATTTTATGGCCGCCCGAGGGAAGAAGCCAACAATGGAAGGATGTGGGGTTGGTGGTGGGGGCAGACCGGAGAAGTTCCTCATTTTGGGATGGCTTTAAGCCGGCGACTGCCAAGGATCCAATGAGCATGCAGGTTTCGTACTCAGTGCTGTGATGACTCAATTCATTTCGGATAATCACGGCGGGATCTGGCCGAAGCGCATTCTCTTTGGCCATCCCCCCTGCCAACTGCACCCACATAAATCTCGGAACCGCACACCTTTTTCCGAGCGCTTCCTGCGTAATTTGTTGCTAAACAAACTCTCATTTACCTCTTGCTCTGACGTGGTCCGCTCTCCGGTTCGTTTACTTTCGCAAATTATAAGCACTCACATAAATTTCACTTACTGCCGCCGGACTGGGCGCCAAGTTCGGGCCTTCTTCTGGCTCGAGAGCCTGAGCTATGGCCACCGAGCGCTTTTGCGAGCCGTAATTAGAAGGAGCGCCGGCAACTGGCCAACTCGAGGTGATGCGAGTGGGACGGAGGGCCATTGGCCACTTGAAATGCAAATTGCGTGCAAATTATGGCAAGCTGGCATCCAACCGGGCAGGTGAACAAGTTCCCCCGCCCGCTGCCCCTGATTCATTGCGAAGGTACAGGAAAAGGAAATATTACTTGGGAGTTCCGGAAAGTTGTGTTTTTAATTGCAGCAGTCCTAATTCAATTTGAAGCCATGCATTTTATGCTTTCTCCTCCTTAGGGGCTCTCTAATTTCAATACTTCGCACAAAACCATTTCACAAACCACACGCCGCAGGATTATGAGCAAAGCTTTACTGAGTGCAGATGAAGGGCCGCTTTATAAAGTGTATGTGTTTCCGATGCTCATTGGCTTCCATCTCTGTAACTTAGAAATTTTTAAAGAATACAATAAAAATCTTTAGTAAATCAAATTTGGAATAGTTATTATCGTTTTATTTTTTTATGCGCACATGGGCAGAAATTACCCAGATCTTAACCATTTAAAAGGAAGGTGATTCCTACCGACATCCCCTATATCACCATTACGGTGATGGCTGTAAATGCTCTGAGATTCTTCTTAAAATAACGAAAATTGTACCACTTACGGATAATTATTTAATCTTACATATTGAAGCATTGCTCACCGTTATTATGAGTTAGGAAGGCGTTCTCCGCTTCCGACGAGGAGGATCCCTGGTGCTCATTGTTGGCGTTGGAGGAGGAGGACGAGTTCGAGAAGTCGTAGGGGTGAGTCAGGCTATTGGTTCCCACGGCGGAGGCTGCCAAGGCCTTGAAAAGGTGGGCGGTGCGCTGCTGCGTTTGCTGCTGCTGCTGCTGCAGTTGCTGTTGCTGCTGCTGCTGCTGTTGTTGCTGCTGCTGCTGCTGCTGCGGCGGAATGTAGGGATTGTTGTAGATGTTGCGGCTGTCACTCGAGGGCTGCAGGTTGTATTGGTTCTGCTGCTGCTGGAGCGTGTTATTGGCACTCAGGAGACCGTTGACCGTGAAATGCCGGGATTTGGCTGAAAGAAGAATGGGAGCGTTAAATGGAAGCTCGCGATGTAGATGGATGTGCGGGAAGTTGGCTGAGCAGGGAGCTAAACTTTTTCCGTGTCGTGGCAGTTGCTACTTTCTCCGCCAAACTCCACGCTCCCAATCCCGAGTCCTTTCGCCTAATTGCATGCATTGAAATATGCAAATGAAGACGGGTGTGTGGGTGATTGTGTGTCTGTGGGTGTGCTCGCTTCAATTAAAGCATTTTCGCTGTCTGCTCGAAAGGTTTGGGGTTCTCACTTCTGCCCCGCTCATCGTTGTCGCCCATTGTTGCTTTTCTCATATGAATTATGCATGGCAATAACAAGAACAACAGCCACTGTTGTTGCTGTTTTGCGGAAATAATGTCGACGCGGAAGCTGCGATAATGAAGCGGGCAAAAGCAAAGTGTCGCCTCGGCCTAAACCCTCCCCGCTGCCCACGAAAAAATGATGCTAACCCTTTCAATTTTCCACAAGCAGCCCGCTCGGAAAAGTTTCTCCTTGCCGGCTGCTCCTGTCGCTTTTGTGGTCGTTGTTGTTGCTGCTCTTTGCATATTAATTATGCATGTTTTGGTTGGTGTGAAGGCATCAACACATTGTTTGAATTTTAAGCAACACAAGCGACAAAATTAGGGGTAAACAGTGTGGAGGTGTGGAGGGAAGGGGGTTGGCCTCCTTTCGGGCCTTTCGGTTGGCTGTCGCACTGATTTGTTCGGCTTTTGGTGGCCAACTGTGTAAATATGAAGTGCGAAAGATAACGAGCTAATAACTCTGTTAATTTCGGTCCGATGTACGTGCATTGGTGTGCGCGTTTTGTTTCAAGTTTCAGCTTAAAAGATTTAAATAATGGATATCACTTGCAAAACCTCATTGGTTTGTAGTGTGACAAACCGAAATGCATGATTCAAATTGAATACTACATCACACAGTGTTAAAAATTGCTTATAGATTATCCGTCTAATTTTAGCCCCAAGTTCAAACAAAGTATTGGCATTTTCCAGACTTTAATCGATAGCATCCGAACAATTACCCCCTTTGATATTCATCCAAAATGTTCCGCTTTAAAGGTCAGTTATATTCGCTCGTAGGCAAGCCATCAATGTCAATTTCCTGGAGATAAAAATTCCGGGGGCACACGCGTCGCGGTTTAAAAAGCAATGCCAATAAATTTTCACTAGAACGAATTTATTGGTAAATCCCCACCGTAGGCGGCTTTATGACACAGGCCAGGCCAACTGGAATCAACTCGTTGAGGCTGGGGCAAATCTGCGACGCGTCTAAATGTCAATAAAAAACACATTCGGCTATCCAGCGATTTGCGATGGGAAGAGGCGAATTTGCCTCGTTTAGCGACGGAATAATGACACAAAATCGCATAATTCGACGAGGCAGAAGGCAGAAGGGTTCCCATCCTGGGGTCGAAGTCGAGCCGACAACAAAGAAACCAAATTGGCGCCCCAGTGAAAGTCAAGGAAACAGCGTCCAAATGGCCTGATTTAGTAGACGCTCGGGGCATCAACTCCGCAGAGGCAACAAAGTGTTGGCAACAACAAAGGAATAAAGCATTTGCGTCTCCATGTGGCGGAAGAAAACTAGCGACAACAAAATCAAAATAAATGTGTAAAAATTGTGTGGCAATAAAATTTGCGTAAATAGTCCAATTTGCATTGAATGTTGCCCTTATTTATGGGGCCAGGCGCAATCAGGCTGCCCTGAAAGTTGGCCGGCAACTGGGGATGTGTTGTTAGTTGGGTGCCCGGCTTTGTTGACGTGCTGTTGTTGTTTGCTGCCTGCCAGCGAAGTGTAAATTTGCCAAATTTTGTTAAAAGCAAAATAAATAAAAATCGTATATACGGGCAATGGCTGGAAATGAAAATGGAAATGGGAATGGGAATGAGAGTGGAAATGGGCCTGTGAGGACACTGGGGACAGAATCGAATGGGATTCTATTTTTCAGGATTATCAACGGAACGTTTTCTGCCAGAAATGGGGCATAACTTAAAGACCCAGTAGTGTGTGTGTATGTGTTTGGAAAACTTCAAGTTTAGTGGATTTTGGGGATGAACGGCCACAGGGGATTATGTAATCTTGCGCAATCCACGTAATTAATTCACCAACCAATCAATCGGCAAGCGAAGCTCCCTTTGTTTCCACGCAAACTTTGGCCAGACGAAAGCACTCGAAACTTTTCACTCACAATGCCCCAATCAGGTCTCCACCAACAACAACTGGAACAATTAACAATCGATGCAGCCAATTAACAATTAACGGGCAACCCGAAATGGAAGCCAAAGAAATGGTTGGGGAAAAAACTTTGTGAAAAATAAAGCCCCGCGAGGGTGTAACTTTTAAACCGATTAGCCCATGCTTAAAGAATTTTATAAATAAATTCCGAACTCCGAATAAATATTTTAAGCCCAGCGACAAAATATTCCAAGGACAGTGGCATCGATTGGATCTCATTAACAATTCATGGCGGTCTAATGGACATTCACACGCACGACCAATCGAAAACAACTAATAATAGTTACACTTCCAAAATTGTTTGAATTGGGCTTCCAAATGACTGCAATTATGGAAAAAATAAAGCCCTTTGAATGGGAATGGTGATGTGCGAATGAATCAGGGTTCTTTAAGTTTCTCGCCACTTGGGTATACTTTCAGAACTAAGCGCATTAAAATCGCTTGAGGATTGGGTCTGATCCCCGAAACACTTGAACAGATGTCCTGGCATTTGAAATTCACAAAACTAAAAGCAACTGGGAAATGCGGATGTGAGTGCGAATGCGAATGCGAGTGCGGATGTCGCTGACTCATCCGCCCGGGAAAAGACAAGTCGAGGGCCCAAACACCTTGTTGTCCTGGCTGACGGCAGTGGAGCTGTCAATGACAGTTGGTTGTTGTCACCCCGGCGCATCCTCGCCAGCCGAGGAAATTCGCACAGCTGAGCGAAGACGGCGCAGAGTTATCCGGCTGAATAATTCCGACCGGGATTAGAGGTGAGAGCGGGAAGGTCCGTTGTCCTCTAATGCATGTTTGGCATTTACATAATTTTCGAGGGTTGCGAGCACTTGACTCGCACCAGCCCGAAAACCCAACCGAGCCAAATATCAATTACATTCACCCAATCCGAACAGCGGGGCAAAGGATCGGGATGACACAACAAGCAAATTAATTGAAATCAATGCAAATGCCCGGAGCAGGACCTCGCAGGACTCGTCGACTCAAGGGTTGCACCCCGCCCTCAGATGGTTTTTCAATTCTATAGGCAATCGCATTTGTCGAAGGCTTAAGTCGCCCCCTCCGCAATCGGCCTTCGCTCGCCATTGTTGTCAAACATGTCAAAGCAATTGCAAACATTCGAGCCTTTCATTTATTAGCGCGAGTTGAATCAGCTCTACTTTTTCACTCGCTCGCTCGATCTGCGGATTCGATTTCGCGGTTTGCTGAGCACCGGCAGCGGGCAGATAACGCTCCGATAAGTAGAGTCCTGCTCGCCAGCTCGTCCTTGCCAGCGGCGGTCGCTCCAGTGCGATAAGTAACCCATTTGGACGCGGCCTTTGTGCAATATGTCATCGGGCTGTTGGTGGTTTCTGTGGCCATCCAACGGCTCTACGGGGCACATTGTTTCGGATGGGTCCTTGAACATATGCCGCAATTAAATGCGTCGCCTTCGCTTGAAAAACAAGCTTTTCAAGTAAATCTGAGGCGCAGAAAGGGCTGAACACAATCAATACATTTTAATACATTAACTGCCTCAAAACTGTATTGTTTTGTAGCAAATAAACATAAAATCTTTAAATTGTAAAGCAACTAATTTATAATAAACAAACTGTGTTTTCAAAAATGAATAAAATGAATTTGATTATTTTACTTTTTTACTTAATATCGTATCGATCACCAGATCAGATAAGTGTTTTGCATCTCAAATAATGCCATAAAAGGATATGCACCAAGGCAACTGAACTCACAAAACTAAACTGAACCAATAAACCAAACAAAAAATATCTGTTTATTTTTTGGTCTTCACTGATCCAGAACAAAAAGCGCTATGTTACCACAGAAAATATATTTAATTTGAATCCATTGTGCACGAATCCCGGATCATTTTTCTTCCACATCATTTGCAACATTGCCCGCGGCCACCTCACCACTAAAAATGCGCTTTCTTCGCAATGTTTCGTTTCCATTCACCAAATATTTTGCGTAATTTCGAAATGCTAATGACTACATTTCTGCCCTGCCAGACGCTCAGCTTCCCGCGAGGCGACCATTGACATATTCAACTCATTAAACCAACATTCAGCGAAGCCAGGACACAATGGCAGCCAGGAGCTGAAAGGGCACGAAAAGGATCGCCGGCTGGCGTTGCGACTTCGGCGTGCGGATGTGTTTGCCGGGCTAATAATAAACACCCAACCGAAAAAATGTAAGAAAAAACGAGGCACTGATGGCACAAATGATGGATGCGGGGTGCGAGAACAATGGCCACAATGGGTAACAGGATCAAAAATCAGCAACCAGAGAGCCGGCGCTACGAGGCTCGGGGTGAGCGTTCATTAAAACTGCGTCTCTTCTGACTCGGGGTGCGGATTTGGGTTCAGGTCGAACTACCCCGGAGCGGAGATCAAAGCGAGTTGCAACTGCCAGCAGCACGGCCACTACCTCTCCTTTCTACGGCAGTAGTAGCAGTAGTATGTTAGCCGGCAGAAACTTATTACAAAAGTTGACATTGTGTCAAACACGGCGTAACGAGCGCACCACACCTTCGCCATTCCCAATCCAAATCGGAGCTACGAATCCCGCCGAGCGCCGTGCGGTCCACAGTCGCAATTATTGCGTTTGAATTGTCAACACCCCCGTAGAGAAATGGCAGTGGTTATGGGAATGGGAATGGGAATCAGAGTCGGAATGAAAACGGAGACGGAGGAGGAAGGGGATGGTGGTCAAAACCGAAATACGCCACGGGTCATACCGAGAGCATCCGA